CTGGGAATGCTAGTTGCCAGCGCTGTCAAAACTTTTCAAGCTATCATAGCGCTGTAAAATAGCGTTCTCACCCCCTTCAAAACCCCGCTGCGGTACCTAGCCATCCAAGCGTAATGGGGATAATATTCGGGTCGTTGCTAATACCTAAATAGTTATTCCGTTGCTTAGGACACCTCGAAAAGAGACGTACAGGACACCGGGGCTAGGTTATTACACCGCAAGCTGAAACCGTACCTCGACCTCTGTCTCCTGGCCTTCAGGCTGTGCTTCGAGTCTACACTGACCCCTCTCATAGGCAGGATTCAATTCAGCATGGCAATTGCATGCACTGATGAGCTGGCTCCAAAGAAGAGACACTACCTCAAGCCTTATTTAGGTTGGATCCGATAAACTCGAACCGCCTCATTACCTTGCCTCCCAAGGACTCCAGTCTCCCGGCAGTGCCTGGAGCTATTGGACTTCTAGCGCTGACTGGGAGCGTACAGCATCTCAGTCATCAAGATGGGCAAGATTACCCCATGCGGCTCTGCAGTTGGAGTGCAAGACAAACACGGCAGCGAGGATGATTGGCACCGTGGACCGCAGTGGAGTGCACAGATGATGTGTACCGTCGCATTCTTCGCATCAAGTGGGCTCAGTCACTCCGACTCGAGGGTGTGAGTCTACGCCGGATCGCCAAGGCTGCCTTCCTAGGGAGAGGTTGCCCGATCCATTGGTTACACAGCAGCAGTTTTTGTGCGTGATATCCTTGGCAGCGATTCATCCGACGAGAAGTGTCTTCGACAATCCAACCTCCTTCTGCCCCCAGCTGGCAGCTGGAGGAGGAACATAAATTCTGCAGCCAGGACACACGGAAACCTCTGTCTCTTTCACTGGCACTTCGCGGAGGTTGCTGACTTGCAGTTGAAAGCACCGCAACTCCACGGCCTGGCCCGGTGGCCCCTTACCAACAGCAGCCGCGTCTCATCCGCCTGCGGGATAGCACCTTAGAAGCGTCGCTCTCAACCATCACAGTGTGAACCAGCTCGGCCCTTACGTTGGTCTCACTCCTTTATACCTGCAACAATTCCTGCGGCTCGTTTTACCATACAGCCGGCCTGCCACCATGGATCCCAAAACCATCCCCACCCACCTCCCACCACGCTACGAGATCCGCGTGCTCGAACCCAAGCACTCAGACTGGGCAAAGGCCATCGTCTTGCACAGCAACCTCTTCTACTCCCGTCTTTGGCCCGCCCTCTACCCAGAGCACAGAACCCGGCGCATGTACGCCGGCTTCCGCGGAGCAACCTACCTCGTCGAGCACCAAATCAACAGCGGCCACTCGCTCGGCGTCTTCGACACCGAATACACCTTCAAGCGACCCGAGTCAGTGGCGACGGGCGGCACGCTGTACTGGGACCTGGAGGACGAGTCGCCCGACGGGGACACGCTGCTCGCGCAGATGGACTTCCCGCTCGTGTCGGTCGCGCTGGCGTACGACGGCTTCCACACGCTCGACATGGCCCAGATGGCGCCGCTCGTCCGGGCGCTGCCGGCGTTTGGGGCCGTCTTCGCGCTGCTGGCCCAGCTGGACAGGAGGGATCCGGAGAGCTGGAAGCCAAGGGCCGAGGGCGAGGTGCTGATGCGGAACGCGACGAGCACGAGGGCGGATTACGAGGGCAAGGGGTTGATGAGGAAGCTGGCCGAGTATATGATGCGGACGGCAGCGGCGAAGGGGTTTCGGGGGATCCAGATCGAGACCGTGTCGGATGCCGTGTGCAAGGTCTGGAGTGCGCCGCCTGAGCCGTTCAAGGGGGAGATCGTGTGCGAGTTCTATACCGCAACGGCTGAGCTGGGGGATGAGAATGGACAGAAGACGTACCCGTTTCGGCCGGCGGAACAGAGAATTACGAGGGTGTATGTTAGTCTGAAGTGAGCAGAGTGTGAAAGGCACAAATACATGTCGAGATTACTATCGGAACGAGTGGGATCTGTCTGCGAGAACAGTTCTAGTTTCGGTCAAAAAAAATTGTTCACTCGAAGCTGAGATGCATTTAAGGACAGTCGTCCCGGTATGCCCTTGGCCCTCAGCGCTCAGGCTGCTTTAATAAACCGAGGCAAAGAGGGTGACTCTAGACGGAGTAGACGGTAAGTAAAGGTCATCATGCAATCATTACCGACATCGGTCTCGCCCAGCACAACATATGATCTCCTGGTGATCTTGATGGAGTGCCAGTGATATTCCGCTTCCAGTCGGGGACGGTTTACAACCATGTCGCTCTTTGCGATGGCACTGGCAGTGTGTAGGTTATAGGTACAAGCTACAAGGACGCGGTTGACCCTCTCAGCAATAAGGAAGATTATTATATTACAAGAAGAGCCATGTTACTAGTGCCGCCACGGAGTACCTGTTGGTGGTTAGGCGACTTACGTCATATGTGAGGTCATTGTGTCATTGAGTTGTCGATGATGTACCCCTTGAACGGGACCCTGAATCCGAGTATAAACCTCCTCACCTTGGGTCAACCTAATTCGAAAATAGTACTGATGCTATCACCTTGATTGATTCCGACACCAGACACATCCGGAAGACCACAAACGAAGCCACAATCACCATGTCCGACCCTCACCCACAAGGCGGCAACCTCTTCGACATGGCCAAGGATGGTACCAGAGGTTTGCACTGCTCAAACCTCCCATTTGCTGATTGACAAGCTGACAGGACTCACAGTGCCCGAAGACGCTGCCAAGCCCAATGTGATGCCAGCCGGTGAGGGCCTACCAAGCCAGAAGCGAGAGGGAGGTCCGGGTGGTCTCGGCGTGCAAGACAACACGCTTGGAACCACCTTGCAGGGTGAAGTCGTGAGCGCAGCCGGAGAGCTCCCCGAAGACGTTGGGCAGAAATACAGCCGATCTGGCGGAATGGAGCGTCAGGAGAAGCACCATGCTCCCCATGGGGCACGGAATAAGCCCTAATTCGGACTGAACAATGGGGGTCGGCCTGGATGAAGAGTCACGGTGTACGATACAATCCAAAATGAGTCATCCTGGAACTATCCCATTAGGATATGGGAAAGATGGAAGGCGGTCTGGACTTAATTGCTTCCATATATGACACTTGCATGGCAAAGACTAGTAAAAACCCCATCAACCCCCCCAGTCGTCTCCATCCTACCCGTCTACGTACTAGCATGACGCCATACAATATCTGTACTGTCTCCTCCGCAACCATGCCCGGCATGCCTTGCTTCTATGGATCACCAGTCCAACGTGCCCTCCAGCGTGGTCGGTCCGGGCTCAATCATGGAGTCCGGCTCAAGGCTCTCGGAGAACTTCTGGTAAATCAGCCGCCGCACCTCGATATGGAGTTCCTCGTAGGCCGCTTCGAGCTGCTCAGCAGGCTGCCCAACAAGATGAGTCTTGTAGGCCGCGCTGTCTGAGTCGATCTCAACGAGGATGGCTTGAGACGCCTGGATGTTTCCGTATTGGCCAACCATGACGAGGCAGGTGACGATCTCAAACTTCTTGGTTGGGCCGAAGAGGACCTTGGCGTTAGCTTTTGAAAACAGTCAGCTTTTGCAAATTGAAGCTGTGGGCGAGCAGCGTTCATACTAAGGATTTGATCCCGGACGGCGGCGGCCATTGTCAATGGAACCCTACTTGGTGTTTGGGGCGTTTATTTGAGTGTGAGAGACTGAGTGAACTGAAAATGAATGGGGAAGTGCAGTCCGAAAGCCAGTCGAAGAACGGCGTTGATATACACTGGAAAAATGCCGAGTAATGAGTCCGGTTCGGCCTAGAGTCTGCCCTGCTTACGGAGGCTCTGCAGTTAACCCCTGACCCGGAGCGGCGGAGACAAACATGAATCACACTGCCTCGTGGAGCTTCAATTGGAGGAATTCCACACCGCTTGCTTCCTAAATGAACGCTCAGATGCATACGAATTTTACCTCAATAAGACACCGGCCTGAAAACCATTCGGGTTGCTCTGCCGGCAAGCTGGTACGGACGCTCCCTGACGATCTGTCCATGAGAGTCCTGGCCCTGGTGAGCAAATTTCTCTCTCATGGCTAGCTTGTGACGGAGGATAGGACTGATGATGCCGAGCGAGCACTCTCAACCCTCGAGTACGGTAGGCTTGATGGAGGAGAGAAGCGGGCGGTGAAGCCGGGCCAAAGTCTGGCCGACATGCTCGCTTGTGCGTCAACAAAACAATGCTCGGAGTCCTGGCGCCTTGTCATGGACATGGTCACCCATGCAGGGGGCCCACGATAGAATCTTAGCTGTCTGCAGCCCTGCACTAGCGGCATCACCTTGGGTTCCGCCTTGCCGTCACAACTGGAAATGCAGCCGGCGGAATGGCACAGAGAAGCCTCATGGTGGGCTGTGTGCGAACCTAGGGCACTGCAGTCCTGATGAACCTCTTTCCCGGCCGCATGTCAAGATCCTTCCCCGGGTCTAGTGGTGAGGGATCTTCCATGTAGAGGAACACATCATCAGTGGGTAGCCTGTGCGCCCACTTATCCTTCTCCCGTCGTAGACGCGCATCCTGTATACTCTACTCTCTCTCTTCTTTTCCTTAGCTTTCAATCAGCAGAGTTGAGTGGGCATTTGCAGTACTCAGTGCCTCGCCTTGATGCCACTTATCTCTTATACTTATACACTGATGTGGTAGCAAGGCTGTATAACACGATGTAATGCTTAAGCTAAAGAAGCTCACTTAATCAGAAGAGAGGCCATTGTTCAATACATTCTTGAGTTTTCTAAATGATGTTTTCCATCAAGACTTAGTAGTAACTAACTATTGGCAATCAAGTAAATAATCAGTGAGTAAGCCTGCAAAAAGAGAGAGGGCCTCTGATACCGGAAGGCATCTTGTAGAGTAGCCCCGCTGCAAAGGTCTGTGCGCGCTCAGCCCCTCCATGCCAGTTTATCTTGCATGTGGGACGCGCGACACCGACTTCCTGTCTGAATCTTCATCCTTCCTTCCAACAATTCAGTTACACCCATACCATGCCATCCCTCTGGTGCCTCCTGCATCAGCTAGCCTCGTGGTCTGCCCAGCCATCTTATTCCTTCAGCTACCTCTCCTTCTAAGCTTCCTATATTACCCTGTTTATATTGGCTCCCCCCCCCCCCCCCCCCCCCCCCTCCAAATTGCCATTGTAATCGTGGCTCTTTCCACTACGGTGAGTCTCTATAGCCTGGAGGCTTGCGGTTAGCCTCTATTATCCGTTCTCGGATTGAGCCTTCGGTATATCGTACCACAGGCTATATGGATAATGCTCCCTACAGTCTTGTCACGAGCAGAGGGCTATTGGCCCAGGCATGGCTGCGGAAAGTCATCTCTATTGTGTAGATTTACAAAATGGGGAGGAAAGGAAGAGATGCTGGAAGAGCTCTCGCGATGCAGGAGATAAATGCCAGAGAAAGTGGGGCACGCGCGAGCAAGGCAAGCGCGTACCTCGACGGCAGTTGCCGTCACAAGGCCTCTTGTGATGGGCACCACCCAAGGTCTGGTCAGCTCGCACATACAAGATCGATATTGCTACAACGAGAGCAAGAGCTAGATGACAGGAATGGGCGTTCAACCAGACCTTAAGTACTGGAGCAGAGGCCTATGCGTAGGCGTGACCACAGACGTATGATCAGACTCATGACCACAGGCATATGGCATAACCATGAGAACTGGAACGGGAAATCCGGTGACACTTCTTTCCGCCTTGGCCGTCGGTTGGAGTGGGTATTTGTGAAAAGTCTCGGTGCCCTAACAACTGAAAGGGACTCCTGAAGTTTATAACTTGACAATGGGAGAGGTTCGGTGAAGCCAAAGGGTTCACAACAAGCAATGTCCAAAGGTACTGACAATATCTTGCACTCTGCGAGAGTTGAGCGAGATGCTGCAGGCGCAAGAAGCTCTGGGATTACACTCTATCTGCTAATCGAAAGCTGAAGAGGAGAGGGAAAACTGGTCGCACTCGACATGATCCTCCGTTATACCATAATACCACCAGCAGGACCGGTCTCGTCCGCAGGCTAGTCTCAATAAGGGAATGCACCTGTAACCCCAACCCTGGTGCACTTTCCGTCACAATCTTCCCCTGTCAAAAAAAGCTCGCCTCGAGCTTAGACAGCCAGCTTAATCGAAAATAGCATTTCAAACTAAATCTTCCAGACCTGCGATATTTTCCACTGCTATAAGCGCTGTAGTCGCCGACCTCTAGTTACTGGCCGGTCGTCATCCGGGTGCGGGTCCGCGAACCGGTTTTCGGCTGCAGCCAGCAACCACTCGTCCAGTCGTACCGGGGATCCAGCCTGGTCAGGGTAGTCGTCGTGGAACCGTTTGATCGTCACCGGTACGTTCCTGAAGTCCGACGCCGGGTACCAAGTCGGGTCCAGGTCCCAACCACGCCATTCAACTTGGTACTGGAGCTTGCCGTGATGGGTCCGGCTGGCTAGGATTTGCTCAAGCTCCCAATCCTCCTCACCACCGACGTCTTCACCAGGCGGATCCTCAACAACCTCCTTAGGGAGCGGGTTGCCTGGATAGCGGCGGAGCCGGTCAGCTGTGAACTCGGCCGATTCGCGACAGGATTCCGGGACCCCGAGCCGGTAGGCCCACATCGCGGTTTTCTCAACGATCTTATAGTAGTGCTGCCCCGGCCGGCTGGTCAGTTCGATGGACTGTTTGATAATGAAGACGTGGTCGCCGACGCCAAAGTCCGGTCCCGGCGATCCCGATTCGTCTATGACGCCTGGTTATCCTGGGCCTTCTGGATCATCTGCCGGGCATACTCAACGTAGCCCTAGATCCGGTAATCCGCCTCCTGCGCCAATTCACGGCTCAATTGCTCCCGGTAGTTGGCAAAGTCTCACTTGTGGGACTCCCAGTCAATTGGCATCGGCTTTGAATAGCTCAACAGAACCTCATGCGGCTGCAATCCAGTGCTGTCGTGCGGTAAACTTCATCTGGACGGCATCAAGTGATCGCTCTGGACCAATTGTCTTGGTAATAACTCACAAACTGTCGCAACCGCTGGTTGTTATACTGGTTAAAGGTTCTCGACCTGCTCAGCAGTCTAGAAATGTCCTGCTGTAGCCAGCTTCCATTCGATATTGAGATCCGGGACAGCTCGTCGGTGAACTCGGCCCGGAGCTGTGGTCCACGGTCACTAATAATCTCCATGGGTATGCCGTAGACTCGGTACGGGCCCTCATAGTACATCCTTGCTGCATCGCGGGCGGTGGCACTCATCTTGCACGGAACGGTCCACGATGCCTTCATCAACCGGTTGATTATAACCAACGCATTGCCGTAACTATAGCGGTCGGGCGGCATTACATTGAAACCCACGACCAAGCTTTGCCGGGCCCGCTACGACGGCGAGATCGCCTGTAGCAGTCCAGTCCAGGGGTCTTGTCTTTTGGGTATCTCGATGATCGCCACGGTATATAGTTACAAACACGTTAACATTGCCCCTTATTCTCGGCCACCAGTACCTGGTGGCTACCGGTCTTGTCCCGGCCAGGGTACGCCGTAACCTGCTTGAAGTGTGCCTCCTGGATGACCCCGGTCTGTAAGTGTCCAACCGCTGGTACGACCAACCGACCTTCGCGTAGAAGCAACCGGTCCCCTAGGATGTGAACCCGCTGTTTCCTTTGCGAGCCCTCCAACTCTGGTGCCCTGCGATTAGCCTCATCCAATGTTGGCAGCGTAATCCAAACGGAAGCCACAGTAGTCACAAACAATTGCCTTGCTGCCCGCGGGGAAAGCATCTTCAGTCTCTTCAGCGCTAATTAGAGCGGCTGCGATGCCCAGCGAGTGGAGGGCTTGCAGGTCCCCGCCCTGACCGTCATGGAGAGTGTCCGAGCGGCGGAAGTAAAACTAGGGAGGACACTCCGGGTTAGAGTCAGAGTTGACTGGTCCGGGGCCGAACCGGTGTGCCGCGCATGATCGCGTACCGCCTTGAGGGCAGACAACCCAGCTCCGTTGATCCTGACCTTCCAGACCTAAGAGTCCGCGCCGTTTTCCTGACCGAGAACCTCGACGAACTCGATGTCGGCCCGGGCATTCGGAGTGAAAGGGACTAGTTTGGGGCCCGGGACCCGGGGAAGCGGCACCGGCGGAATAGGTAATTAGGGGAAGGAGGCGGAAAACAGACGAAGCCATGATGCTGAAGTCTTGCGTACTCGGAAAGTCAAATTCAAGGTTGAGAACTGGCGCAGCAATGCGATGGACCGTGAAGTGCAACAGACGAAAGGTAAAGGTAGTGCTGTATTCTGTAGATGAGGGGCAAAAAGTCCTCTCGGTGGCTGCCAAAGCGATAATCACAGCCCTGTGTGCCTCTGCCAACTGGGACGGCGGGAACCCGCAGGCTGTGGCTAAGGTACTGTTTTTTTTATTCTTGACAGGGACTAGATATTGGAACTGGAATTGCAACAAGTGAGCCGATCAGGCCCTACAACCCGACTCGGCAGTGCAGGATCATGGAAGTTATCAACTCGAACCAACAGTTTCAACTCACACCATTCATGTGTCAATAATACGTTCATACCGACCAGGCGGGATGATTATTCAGTCAACCTGGGCTATGAGACCGAGATCCTCAACCTCCCGCGAAGTTAATTTCTCAACTGACCTCTGCATCCTCGGCTTTCAGGTTGTACCAGGCAATCCTGACAGCCACCCCCGGCCGCGAATTACCCTATACCCAAGTCAGCTATCTCACGCCGGAGTTCATCTTCACCCTCAACAACAGCCCGGCCGCAGATGTCTAGGCAATGGGCTGCATCCTGTTCAACCTAGGATATCCGATGCAGGTGTTCTGGAACTTTTTTTTGCGAACGACCCGAGGGGACTGCAGAATTAACCTGCTACGCGCTGGGCCCGTTGCCGGAGGAGTGGATGGCAGTCAAATCGTACGAGGGCTGGCCTGTCCACGAGCGGCTGGAGGATGACGATGTTGAGGTTCGGGCCAAGTGTGACCCGCTCAGGTTTGTCGACCATAGCAACGACAAATGCTTCCTCGAGGATGTTGTAGGAGGTATCCGCGAGCCTTGTCGATCGGTGGGTATTGGCTTGAACTCAGGGACGGGGCAAGAGTTTTTTAAATCTGAAGGTTCGAAGATTGATTACATTGCAGGAATGAAGCGGCGAAGGAGAAGTCTGAGACTGAGAATACATAAAGCGAGGGCAAGTCATGCACTGCCGCGTCCAAGCAAAGCGCACAATTGATCTCGAAATCCCGACATGGAAGCTACCTAGGTACTGCTTCTGGCGCCACCGTGTGCTGGATGGTCCCCAGGCATCTCGAAGGGATATGTTTGCATCGACGATGCCGCCTCAACCGGAGCCGCCCAGTGTGGTTTCTCATACTCGTACTCTGGCGGGTAATATCCGCGGTGAGCTGGATCAACCGCCCCTCCAGGGCCAGGCGGAGCGGGGGTCGGTTCGACCGGCTGAACCGATCTTTGCTTTCTACGGTACCAAAAAAAGAAGAGACCGGCGCCAACAAACCCCGCCACCGCCGCGCCAACCGCGATTCCCACGATGACACCAGTGGAGAGACCGCCTTTCTCCCCTTCTGACCCCGCCGATGCGGCCCCGCCACTACCACCGCTGCCGCCGGCGCCCCCGCCACTATCACCGCCGCTGGTGGTGGTTACGTCCACTTCGCTCGTCCCGTTCGCTTCCTTGGCTGTGAGCGCCGTCCAAAACCCGTCCCACGACTTCTCCCAATCATTGCCGCCGCTCTTGATCGTTTCCTCGTCCGGCTGTATGCTGACAGGATCCACGCCAGGAGGGATATTCGGACCTGGAGCCTGGCCCAGGAAGACCCTATTCTTTTCCCAGTTCGCCCCCAAAAATGCGTCTTGGAAGAAGGCGCGACCGAGAACATACGCGCCAGTGCCGCTCGTAAAGCAGGGGAAGTACGGGGTCGGGTTGCCGGCGAAGGGCGCCGTCAGCGTTAGGTTAAGGTGGCGGAACGGGACGTGAATAGTGAGCGAGTCGGTGTTGCGGCCGCCCATGACGGTGAAAGAGAGTGTAGAGGCGGATGCCACAATGGGTTTGTACCGGGGGGACGAGACATTCCAGGTATACAGGCCTAGTGAAGCGTTGTAGACAACCGGGAGGTGTGATGCAATGGCATCACAGGTTGACTGGGGTAAGGTGAGGTACGGACTGCATGGGTCGATGAAGATGGGCAGACCAGAGGGTGGGATCGTGGAGTTGCCTTTGGTGAGGAGGCCGGAAATATTAGTGTTGGAGGTGACATTGCCGGAGCCGGAGCCAGAGCCGGAGCCAGAATCCACAGGGACGGACTCAAAAGGAGAGCTGCCTTTGATGACGCGGATGCTTATATCTTGGAGGGAGATCGGCTGAGAGAAGTCGCCCTGGAAAGTGAGGACGTTTCCTACGACCCGGTTGCGGTCGTAACCTCCATAAAGGAGGGACCCAGACATCCTTGCAGAGGGGCCTGCCGCCCCGTAGTGGAGGCCAAATGAACTCGATGCCGTGGATCCATCATCCTTCAGAACCCAGGGAATCATGGTAGCGTTGATGCCGGGTTTCTTGCCAAGTGTGTCGCTTGAAAATACCTGGCTCCGGTCCGGCGCGCCTAAGCTGAAGCAGCCTGTGAAGATGGGATACCAAGTGCCTCCGGGGTAGGCGTACATCTGTGACTCGGTCTCAATCAAGGCCAGCGAGTGGTTTTGGATGGGGCCGGATCTGAATCCGAGGTCGATTGTTTCCAGCTGCATGTTGGCGTTGCCGCGAAGGGGCACCCCGCGGGCCAAGTCCTGTGTAGGTGGCTGAAAGGAAATTTTCGCTCCATCGCTGGTCGCCGATGTCCTGTCTTTGCGATATGTTCCGGATGCGCAGTGAGGCATTGAGCCGTTAATCGAACAATAATCCGAAGTTGTCACGATGGATTGCCACATGCGTCCCGGAAAGAGAGAGATCTTCGGTTGGCCGCCAATGGAGACTTCGATGGTGTTCCACGGCCCGTCAGGACCAAAAGACTGTCCCCATGTCGCCTGTCTCGGTTCCACGGCAGCAAGAGCGAACGTAGGGAGTGAAAGGGACAACAAAAGTGCTTCAAAGATCGGCGCGGGTCTCATCGTGTACGCCCGCTTGAGTGGCGTCAGTTTCAGTCAACTCCGTGACTTGGGTTTCGGGAACTATGCTGAAGAGGCGAACGCTGACAGGAAGTAGAAGGGAGAGATGAGGAGAAAAACACAGAAACCGAGGAACTCGGGAAAGAGCCCTGGCAAGACTAAAGGACGCGAGAAGCATCTGAGAGGCGAAGTGAGCGCATCAGTGTGATGTTGGGGACAAGCCCTTCTCCTTCCACCCCGTCTTGGGCAGTTGGACTGCCCTGGCTCGCCTGGACAAGGAATATTACAGGTAGTATATCACGGGCGGCAGACACTCGTCATTCAGCCTATCATGACGAAGATGCCGGTGCAGAGCGCGGCAAATGCAACCGTAACAATGCCTGGGACTGGGCCCACTGTCTCATCTTCCTGCGGTTGGTGATTAGTTTGCATAAGCGATTCTTGGTGCTCAACCGTGACTTATGATGGGTTCCCGGAAATTGAAACCGACAATCGCCCGTCGGACCCAATCATGCCCAGTCTCAGAAATACCACCCATCCACTGTGCGGAGACCCAGGCGTCAACCGGGAAGCCGGAGAAGAACCTGATCGACGTTAACTTAGCCGCCCAGCTGTGCGCGAGAGGCGCTCGCTAAAATTGCTGCTGTCGACCCCTGTCAAGCTTCGACGCCGCCTGGCCTGACCCCTGATTCCTCCGTCAAGAAAAATGGATCGATGGCCACCGTGGCGGCTGCGAGGCGGCCATACTATCCCATCACCGTTGTTCTAGTCGTCGCGATGTTGATGAAGCCCCGTGCCTTCATCTCTCGGCGCCCTCATTATGATCGTTTGGCCCTTCCGCCTCAATTTTTCTTATTCCGCGGTCGACGGGTTGGCCGGCGCCGCTGATGGGGGCCCAGCTGACCTAACAGCCCCGCAATCAAGGTGTTTGCCCAGCATGAGCGATGTGCTGTCGTCCCGGAGGGTGCGGGTGTGGCTACCGGTGGCAGTAATCTTGACTATTCTTTTCGCCTTTGGAGCCCGTTACGATGCCCTCCCAAGCGCGCCGACCGGATGGAGCAAAGCGGGCAGTTCGGGCACACTGCCACCATCCGGAGGCGGCGTGAGCCTGGCGACGGAACCCAACGTCGACTGGTCGCGCTTCGCATATACGCAGTATGTGACCGACAGCCACTACCTGTGCAACTCTGTCATGCTGTTCGAACGGCTGCAGCACGTTGGGAGCCGGGCCGATCGTGTCATGATGTACCCAGCGCCTATGCTGGAGAACCCGGACGCGACAGACGGTGGCTCAAGCGACGACGCTCGCTTGTTGATCAAGGCTCGCGACGAGTACGGCGCAAAGCTAGTGCCCATCACGGTACAGCGGCGGGCAAGCGCCGACAGTACGTCTCCTCGCACCCCTCCCAGTTGGTACTGAGCTTTGCTAAGCAAAACCTCTTCGGCAGAGACCTGGGCAGAGTCATATACGAAACTCCTCGCCTTCAACCAGACGCAGTACGATCGCGTGCTCTCGCTCGACTCCGACTCCGTCCTCCTCCAAAATATGGACGAGCTATTCCTGCTCCCCCCTTGCCCCGTGGCCATGCCCCGAGCGTACTGGCTGTACCCTGAAACAATGATCCTCTCATCGCAGGTCATGCTGGTGACGCCCAGCGAGGTCGAATTCGGTCATGTCATGGACAAGATCAACCAAGCTGGCCGCGATGACTATGATATGGAGATCGTCAACTACCTTTACAAAGACTCGGCCCTCGTCCTCCCGCATAGACCCTACGACCTGTTGACAGGAGAGTTCACACTCGATGAGGACAAGCACCGGTGGTACCTGGGCAGCGACACAGAAGAGTGGGACCCTGTCAAAGTGTTCAACGAGGCCAAGTTCCTGCATTTTTCCGACTGGCCCGTGCCAAAACCCTGGCTAGGTATGTCGGACAGCGTGAGACAGTCCAAACAGCCAAAATGCCACGTGAAGGACGGCGTGGAATCGTGTGCCGAACGGGAGATTTGGCTCGGGATTTATCGAGAGTTTGTCGAGCGACGGAAGGTGAGGTTCCTGTGACGGGTCCTGGTTTTCTTGGTGACCGAGCTAACGTTATTGTAGCGAGTGTGCGGGCGCGTTGCTGGTGAGCCACTGCGGCGGAGGCGATTCTCGTCATAGGTCTGGTCTGGTGGTTGATCAGCGCTGCTGGTGCTAGTGGGTTGGCATTCCTTGTCATGAGTCGGGCGTTACGGATCTTAGGAGCCTGGCCTTTAATGCGGACCAGTCTATCGCAGCGAGAGATGGGTTCGGCGTTTAGGTTGGATAAGGTATCGTGTAGGAAAGGCGGGATATAATAGAAAGAAATGATACCAAGGTTAGGTTAATGTCTCCCCAAACTGCTGCAGAGCACACGTCGCTTTCAGGTTTTGCTCTGGACTTCACCTACCACACTCGTTTCTGCTCTTGCTTCACAAGCACTTTACTTATCATTACTTTGGAGGACCCCACCCCCCCCCCCCCCGCCCGGGGATCCTCTGAAGGCAAGAGCTCCACTTCGACTAACGCTCGGTTCGATCCGCACCAGGTGGGCCAGCCGCTTAGCAAGGGATGAGCAAGGCGCCGAGTGGCATACTGAGGTACTGAAACTAGACACCAACAAGTGCGGAAACTATGGTTCGAGGATGTTAGCCAGCGACATCCGATGCGCGGCTTCATTCAGCGGACTTCTGGACGAATACTTATCTATTCAAGGCAAATTCTCTGAGCCATCTTTTTTGCGCCGCCCTTCGTGATTACGACAGCCATTTCTGTTTCGAACACGGAGGTGCGGAAAGCATTGAGCACCTCAGCAATGCCCTTCGAATAACTACCTGTATCAGCGTCCGCGAGGCCAGGCGGGACGACATCGATGCCATTATCAACATCAACTTCACCGTTTCAATGACAATGTCATGAACCAACTGATGTACCCAGGCGGCGTCTCTGCCGACTCCAAGGCAAAGTTCGCCTCAAAGCTCTTCCCCGAGGACAGCGCAGGGAGGCCAGTGAAAGGAGGGCAATCTTTCTCCGCGTTGCCGAATACCTGCCAGAGCCTACCGACCGGCTTGGGGAGATTGTCGCATTTGCAAGATGGCTGCTTCATTGTGCGCCTCGCACCGAGGCACAATGGAAGGCGTAAGAGTTCAACGCAACGACCGAGAAATGGGGCGAGGGTTGCGATGTGGCCGTGGTCAACGCCTTCATTGGTGGAATGGCACGGCTTCAACGCGATCACACCCGAAGTGAAGCAGCGCTGTGTAAGTCCCAGCATCCCTGCCATATTGACGCTGGACCTTTGCTAACTCTTATCAGATCTCAGCACTCTCGCATACAGCCCAACTCGGCAGCGGCTCGGGGCCGGCTCGGCGCCCTTGAAGTGGGTTTCGATCTTGCCGACAGCCTTGGGTTCCCTGCTCGGGTCGAGGCCTCCCCTGCCAGCTATGGCCTCTACAAGAAGTTTGGCTATGAAGATGAAGTGTTAGATCTCGAGGTCACCGAAACCTGGGCAGCGCTGTCAACAAGTCAAGTCTACCAAGTCAAGTCTCCAAGTCAAGTCAAGTCAAGTCAAGTCAAGTCAAGTCAAGTCAAGTCAAGTCAAGTCAAGTCAAGTCAAGTCAAGTCAAGTCAAGTCTTATTTCTCGAGACTTGTCAATCAAGTCGGTGCATCGACTTGACTTGACAGACTTGACACTAAGTAGGGTTAGGGTATCGAGTAAAAAGTAAGTCCATGTGGGGTTAACTAGCCCAGATTTTGTCCCCGATTAAAACTCGGAACATACCGAAAATGGGCATTTTACCCACTCTTCTGGCCCTAACCTACTGCGACGCGTTGCCTGTCGCGTCGATCACCTCCTGGTCAAGGTGGCTGCGCGCCGCTGCAAAGCTCACCCATACTTCCCGTTTGCAATCCTCCCGAATGGCTATCGTCGCTACTAACGATGCCGCACGCGCAGCTCTTGATTCTGACGACATTTCCATTATGCCGAACGTCGACTTCGAGAACCCCTTGCACCTCAACGCGTTCGACGCGCTCGGCCGTGCCAAGCGCACCAAGAAGAGCATCAAGGAGCAAATTCGTGATGCCAAAGCCATCACCGATGTGCCCCTCGATCCGAAGCTATACCCGAAGATCCAGGGTCCCGACAATCGGTTTTACCACCTCCGCGCGCATTTAAAATAAAGGATGGACCTTCCTGGGTCAACGCCCACGGTACGCTGCTCCTACGGCTCACAGGAAACGATTCGAGCTCTACAGACGGCAAGTTCTGGGTCTGTCACGAGTGCTACAACATCTTCGACGCGGAGGCGACAACTTCGCCAGCTAAACACTTCCGACAAAGACACGGTATTACGAGGGATGGCGAACGTCTTGGGGCAAATACTGCGGGCAAGAGATCGTCGCCAGAAGTGATTAAGAGACTAGCAGAGGGCTGAGATGAGCGACTGTCTGCGGAACAAGAGAGGGAGCTACTCAATACGTGGCGAGAAACTGGGCCAGTGGGTAAACTACACTACCTTGTACACTTCGCCCGCCGACGCCCCAGCGCAGGGACGCTTTCAACGACTTCACAGAAGGTACCCTAGCACCCTCACCCTGCTAAAGACAATCATATTCAGGGCTGATGTATTCTTCTTTTTACAGGCAATCTCACTGAGGCAGAACGCGAGGAAATTGGCGCCATCCTCGTCGACCCTGCAATTCGAAACCTCAGGCTGAAGTCTGACAACGATACCCGCTGGCACTCGGTGTACCATATGATTGAGCGTGCCCTCGTCCTCCGTGATCCCCTCACCAAGTTCAGCGCCCGGTACAATCGATTAGGGGACCTCAGTGACGAAGCCGTACTTTCTTCCGAGGATTGGGCAGTCCTGACAGAGATTAAAGCTCTATTGGCCCCATTCAAGTTCATTACCAAAAAGTTCGAGGGGAGGAAACCCAATCTTTGTGACGTTGTCACCCACATCTTCAGCCTCCACCGGGATCTCAAGCATTTGCACCGAGGATATAGTGCTGAGTTTGAACGGTCGGGAGGGTTTGATAGCTCGATAATTCCGCTCAACAACGAGCGCCCCGCGGGGCAGCTCCCGGCGTTCCCGCCCACTGGGCCCGCTGCGGCACAGCAGCGCCCATGCCGGATTCGCCGCGTGCCCGCCCGGTTTAGTGATTGTGACGTCGACCTCCCCGGAATCGGGCTCCGCCGCCCAGTTACCGCCCCTAAGCAACACGGGCCCCTTGTCGAGCTTGGAAATCCTCTTCACGAGGATCTTGAGGTGCCTTCCTTCTCGAGCCTTCAATCTAGCCTCAAATACGCCATTGACAAGCTTGAGAAGTATCTTGACATACTAGATGAGACCCCTGCTTATTGGGCAGCTCTCATTCTGCACCCGGGCCGCAGGATGAAGTGGGTGAAGCTGTTTTACGAGGGCAACGACAAGAGGATCTTAGAGATTCAGCGGCGGTTTGTGGCCTACTTTGATGCGCACCACCCAGCAGTCGAGCCCGCAGCACGCCCATGCACCCCGGTTCAAGTCCATGGCTTTGGAGATAGCTTCTATGATGCGCCAGTTGCCGGAGGTATTATAGATGAGGTTGGGGAGTATCTACGAGGGCCTGTACACCCCGTTGACAATCCAATACAATGGTGGTTGGCCCGGAAAGACGAGTATCCACGTCTCACGAGTTTGGCGCTCGAAATACTCTCATACCTCCCTGCGCAACGGAATGCGAGCGGACCTTCAGCCTCACTAAGCTCACGATAGGGTCACAACGACACTCCCTTGGTGATGGTACCCTCTCAGAGCTTCAATGTGTACGAAATTGGGCGCGGGAGGAGTCCGTTGGGAAGGTTGTGGCCTTATGACAGGCTTGGTGGCCCAGTTTTTGTAATTAACTGGTGTTCGGAATAACCTCCGAGCCTTCTTGGCAAGTCTTCCAAGTCAAGTCAAGTCGGGGGTCGTTCAAGTCAAGTCTTGCACAGATTTGTCAAGTCAAGTCAAGTCTGCCGCCAGACTTGACTTGACTTGACTTGTTGACAGCGCTGAACCTGGGGCGTGGTCAACACAGACGAAAGCGATTGGGGTGCCAACAACGCCGTGTCGCTTGCAAGCTCAGCCCCTGACGAAATCATGCGCACCGTAATCATGAGACGGCCGCCTCAGAAGGCAGCCATATGAGCGATAACGCTATGAAAGGCAAAGAAAATACATCACACGAACGATTCCGTGGCCATTCATCTATCACCAATTTGTACCGAGCCTGCTTTCTGTTGCTGACGGTTGCCCAACCGTTTAAGCCGAAGCGGCGACCTGCAGGGTGGCACGATGCCCTGTTTTATTGGCAAGGTAGCCGCCTGCTTACAGTGGCGCGTTCCATCTCGATGCAGACACACCTACTCCGTATCCCACTGGTCCTGGTGAAGTCTTGTCCAAAGGCAGCAACGGGGCCCGACGTTGGCCGGGCCACTTCGCCAGCGCCCCTTTTCTGCTTGTATCTTGCAATCTGGGTGTCAATCCACTTTCATAAAGGGAACAGCTAGATTGCACACGGCCACGGCTATATAGCACGGCGCTATCCCTGATTAGGCAGGGCTCCCACGGTGCCCGTGCAGCAGTACAATCGTGAATTTTCTGACAGCTGCCAAGCGGGCCACAGGCCGGAGTCTGCCCAAAGCACACTACAGCAGCCGGCTGCTTCCCCAACTTCCCGCTTCAACTTCCATCCACACAACCTGTTACCGCCAGAGATTGTCAGGTATGATTCCTGCCCTTGATGCCATTTGTGAAGCTGATGAAGCTGTTTCCAAACAGAATGGAAGCCATCGAGTCGTCGTCGGAAGCGCCCAGCCGCCCTTGCGGTCCCCCGCCGCCCGAAAGAGTGTACGCCAGTGAGGAGGCCGCCTAGCAAGCCATCCAAGCCCACGCTTAACGAGCTCATGTTATTTGCGTTGACTTCAATTGAACGGATTGATCAAGCCGACGCAACTTCTGTGCCTCCACTTGGCAGCTGTCAGGAAGTTCACGATTGTACTACTGCACGGGCACCGCGGGAGCCCTGCCGAATCAGGGATAGCGCCGTG